TTGCACCTGGGAGACGCCCACGACTGCTGAGACACGCCCATCGCACCTGAGACCCCGCCCATCACACCTGGGACACGCCCATTGCCCCTGAGACCCCACCCACTACAGGTGGGACACGCCCATCACACCTGGGACACGCCTATCGTACATGGGACACCGCCCGCCACACTTGGGACACGCCCATTGCACCTGAGACCCCACCCACTACAGGGGGGACACGCCCATCACACCTGGGACACGCCCATCACACCTGAGACCCGCCCCACTACAGGTGGGACACGCCTATAACACCCGAGACCCCGCCCTCCTCACACGGGACACGCCCACCACAAGTGGGGCGCGCCTACAATACCTGGGACACGCCCATTGCACCTGAGACCCCACCCCACTACAGGTGGGACCCCGCCCACTAAAGGTGGGACACGCCCACTACAGTGAGACCCCGCCCCCAACACCTGGGACACGCCCACTGCACCTGAGACCCCGCCCCCAACACGAGACCACCCCCACCCGCTGAGACTCCTCCCCCAAACCTGAGGCCCCGCCCACAACAGCTGAGGCCCCGCCCACAACACCTGTGCCACACCCACGACGCCTGAGACGCCTCCTCCTACATCCAAGACCCCGCCCACAATAATTGGGACACGCCCACCCCAGCTGAGACCCCGCCCCCAACACTTGGGACACGCCCACCACGCCTGAGGCCCCCGCCCCCTCCCCGCTAGCCCCGCCCCCTCACCCCGCGCGCTCCATCCAGCTCTTCCAGTTCTTCTCGTGGAATTTGGGCACCAGGCGGAGCCGCCCCGACGCCACCGCCTGCACAGGTGAGACACCAGGTGAGACCCCAAAATGTCCCCCCCAAAATGTCCCCAAAATGTCCCCAAATCCCCCCAAAATGTCCCCAAAATGTCACCAAATGTCACCGCCTGCACAGGTGAGAGAAAGACCCCAAAATGTCCCCAAATGTCCCCCCAAAATGTCCCCAAAATGTCACCAAGTGTCACCGCCTGCACAGGTGAGACACCCCAGGTGAGACCCCAAAATGTCCCCAAATGTCCCCCAAAACGTCCCCAAAATGTCACCAAATGTCACCGCCTGCACAGGTGAGAGACAGACCCCAAAATGTCCCCAAATGTCCCCCCAAAATGTCCCCAAAATATCACCAAATGCCACCACCTGCACAGGTGAGAGACACCAGGTGAGACCCCAAAATGTCCCCAAATGTCCCCCAAAAATGTCCCCAAAATGTCCCCAAATGTCCCCAACCCTGCCCCGATGTCACCGCCTGCACAGGTGAGAGAGATCTCAGGTGAGACCCCAAAATGTCACCTGAAGGGTCCCCCAGGTGTGCCCAGGAGTGTCCCCAGGTGCCCCCAGGAGTGTCCCCAGGTGTGCCCAGGCGTGTCCCCACATATCCCCAGGTGTGTCCGCAGGTGTGCCCAGGTGTGTCCCCAGGTGTGTCCCCAGCTGTGCCCAGGTGTCCCCAATGTCCCCAAGGTGTCCCCTCTCACCTGCAGCGCCTCCCCGTCCATGTCCCCAGGTGTGTCACCTCCCCCAGGTGTCCCCAGGTGTGTCCCCAGGTGTCCCCAATGTCCCCCAGGTGTCCCCAGGTGTCCCCTCTCACCTGCAGCACCTCCCCATCCATGTCCCCAGGTGGTGTCACCTCCCCCAGGTGTCCCCAGGTGTGCCCAGGTGTCCCCAGTGTCCCCCAGGTGTGCCCAGGTGTGTCCCCTCTCACCTGCAGCGCCTCCCGGGCCATGTCCCCAGGGTGTGTCACCTCCCCCAGCTGTCCCCAGTGTCCCCAGTGTCCCCCAGGTGTGTCCCCAGGTGTGTCCCCAGCTGTGCCCAGGTGTCCCCAATGTCCCCAGGTGTCCCCAGGTGTGTCCCCTCTCACCTGCAGCGCCTCCCGGGCCATGTCCCCAGGTGTGTCACCTCCCCCAGGTGTCCCCAGTGTCCCCAGTGTCCCCCAGGTGTGTCCCCAGGTGTGTCCCCAGCTGTGCCCAGGTGTCCCCAATGTCCCCAGGTGTGCCCAGGTGTGCCCAGGTGTGTCCCCAGCTGTGCCCAGGTGTCCCCAGTGTCCCCCCAGGTGTCCCCAGGTGTGTCCCCAGGTGTGTCCCCAGCTGTGCCCAGGTGTCCCCAATGTCCCCAGGTGTGCCCAGGTGTGTCCCCTCTCACCTGCAGCGCCTCCCGGGCCATGTCCCCGCAGGTGAGGAACCACTGACGCTTCAGCAGGAACTCAACGACGTCACCGGAGCGGCTGCGGGGACAGGGGACACCTGAGGGACACCTGGGGACACCTGGGGACACCTGAGGGACACCTGGGGACACCTGGGGACACCTGAGACACACCTGGGGACACCTGGGTGACATTGGGGACACCTGAGACACACCTGGGGACACCTGAGGGACACCTGAGAGATACCTGGGGACACCTGGGTGACATTGGGGACATCTGAGACACAGCTGGGGACACCTGAGACACACCTGGGGACACCTGGGGACACCTGAGAGATACCTGGGGACACACCTGGGGACACCTGGGGACACCTGGGGACAGCTGGGGGACAGCTGGGGACAGGGGACACCTGAGAGACACACCTGGGACACCTGGGGACACTTGAGGGACACCTGGGGACACCTGGGGGACACCTGGGACACACCTGGGGACACCTGAGGTGACACCTGGTGACACCTGGGGACAGGTGTGCTACGTGCACAGGGGCAGGGTCATGGCATGGGGGTATTTTGGTGACATTGGGGACAGGTGAGGTGACACAGGTGACACAGGTGACACAGTGACACCGTTACCTGCACAGGGGCAGGGTCATGGCGTGGGGTGACACAGGTGACACAGGTGACACAGGTGACACAGGTGACACAGTGACACCGTTACCTGCACAGGGGCAGGGTCATGGCGTGGGGTGACATTGGGAACAGGTGAGGTGACACAGGTGACACAGGTGACACAGTGACACCGTTACCTGCACAGGGGCAGGGTCATGGCGTGGGGTGACACAGGTGACACAGGTGACACAGGTGACACAGGTGACACAGTGACACCGTTACCTGCACAGGGGCAGGGTCATGGCGTGGGGGTGACATTGGGAACAGGTGAGGTGACACAGGTGACACAGGTGACACAGTGACACCGGTACCTGCACAGGGGCAGGGTCATGGCGTGGGGTGACACAGGTGACACAGGTGACACAGGTGACACAGTGACACCGTTACCTGCACAGGGGCAGGGTCATGGCGTGGGGTGACATTGGGGACAGGTGAGGTGACACAGGTGACACAGGTGACACCGTTACCTGCACAGGGGCAGGGTCATGGCGTGGGGTGACATTGGGGACAGGTGAGGTGACACAGGTGACACAGGTGACACAGTGACACCGTTACCTGCACAGGGGCAGGGTCATGGCGTGGGGTGACACAGGTGACACAGGTGACACAGGTGACACAGGTGACACCGTTACCTGCACAGGGGCAGGGTCATGGCGTGGGGTGACATTGGGGACAGGTGAGGTGACACAGGTGACACAGGTGACACAGTGACACCGTTACCTGCACAGGGGCAGGGTCATGGCGTGGGGTGACACAGGTGACACAGGTGACACAAGTGACACAGGTGACACAGGTGACACCGTTACCTGCACAGGGGCAGGGTCATGGCGTGGGGTGACACAGGTGACACAGGTGACACAGGTGACACAGTGACACCGTTACCTGCACAGGGGCAGGGTCATGGCGTGGGGTGACATTGGGGACAGGTGAGGTGACACAGGTGACACAGGTGACACCGTTACCTGCACAGGGGCAGGGTCATGGCGTGGGGTGACATTGGGGACAGGTGAGGTGACACAGGTGACACAGGTGACACAGTGACACCGTTACCTGCACAGGGGCAGGGTCATGGCGTGGGGTGACACAGGTGACACAGGTGACACAAGTGACACAGGTGACACAGGTGACACCGTTACCTGCACAGGGGCAGGGTCATGGCGTGGGGTGACACAGGTGACACAGGTGACACAGGTGACACAGTGACACCGTTACCTGCACAGGGGCAGGGTCATGGCGTGGGGTGACATTGGGGACAGGTGAGGTGACACAGGTGACACAGGTGACACAGGTGACACCGTTACCTGCACAGGGGCAGGGTCATGGCGTGGGGTGACATTGGGGACAGGTGAGGTGACACAGGTGACACAGGTGACACCGTTACCTGCACAGGGGCAGGGTCATGGCGTGGGGTGACACAGGTGACACAGGTGACACAGGTGACACCGTTACCTGCACAGGGGCAGGGTCATGGCGTGGGGTGACATTGGGGACAGGTGAGGTGACACAGGTGACACAGGTGACACAGGTGACACCGTTACCTGCACAGGGGCAGGGTCATGGTGTGGGGTGACACAGGTGACACAGGTGACACAAGTGACACAGGTGACACAGGTGACACCGTTACCTGCACAGGGGCAGGGTCATGGCGTGGTCGGTCACCCCCCGGAGCAGCCCCCGCTGTGCCAGCGCTGCCACCACCTGAGCCCGGGCCTCGAACCTGGGCACACCCTGGGGACACAGAGGGGACACTGAGGGGACAATGGGGACAACAGGGACACTGAGGGGACATTGGGGACACTGGGGACATTGGGGACAGAGGAGACATTGGGGACACTGGGGACATTGGGGGGATTGAGGACATTGGGGACAGTGGGGACACCCTGGGGACATTGGGGGGACATTGGGGACAGCGGGGACATTGGGGACACTGGGGACAGTGGGGACACCCTGGGGACATTGGGGGGACATTGGGGGGACAGCAAGGACATTGGGGACACCCTGGGGACATTGGGGACAGAGGGGACATTGGGGACATTGAGGGGGCAATGAGGGCATTGAGGGGACATTGGGGACACCCTGGGGACAGCGAGGGGATTGGGGATATTGGGGGGATTGGGGACCCTGGGGACAATGGGGACAGTGGGGGGATTGAGGACATCGGGGGGATTGGGGACATTGGGGGTGTCGGGGACATTGGGGACAATGAGGGGACATTGACACTGAGCTGGACACATGGGTCAGGTTTGGGGTCATTTTTGGGGCCATTTGGGGACACTTTGGGGTCATTTTTGGGGCCGGTTTGGGGCCGTTTTGAGGTCATTTTTGGGGCCAGTTTGGGGTCATTTTTGGGGCCGTTTTGGGGTCATTTTTGGGGCCGTTTTGGGACACTTTGGGGTCATTTTTGGGGCCGTTTTGGGACACTTTGGGGCCGTTTTTGGGGCCATACCTGCAGCCACCCCCCGCCCGGGGGACACAAGGTGCCGTCGTCGGCGATGACCGAGAGCAGCGGCAGCGCGTGGGCCCGGGCCAGCGCCAGGTCCTGGGGGCTGTGCCCGGGGGTCACCTTCACCGCACCTGGGGACAGGGACACACCTGGGTCACACCTGTGCCACACCTGGGTCACACCTGGGTCACCTGTGTGTCACCTATTACAACCTAGAGTCATCTACTGTCACCCACAGAGCCTGGGGGCTGTGCCCGGGGGTCACCTTGACCGCACCTGGGGACAGGGACAGGGTCACCTGCGCCACCTATTGTCACCTATTGTCACCTGCTGCAACCTACTGTCACCCATTGTCATCCCAGTGCCCCCAGTCCCCTCCCAGTCCCCCCCAATCCATCCCAGTATCCCCCAATCCCCCCCCAATCCATCCCAGTATCCCCCAATCCCCTCCCAGTCTCTCCCAGTATCCCCCAATCCCCTCCCAGTCCCCCCCAATCCATCCCAGTATCCCCCAATCCCCTCCCAGTCTCTCCCAGTCCCCCCCAGTTCCCCCCAATCCCCTCCCAGTCCCTCCCAGTTTATTCCAGTCCCTCCCAGTCCCCCCCAAGCTGTCCCAGTCCCCATTTAACCCCTCCCAGTTCATTCCCAGTTCCCCGCATCCCCTCCCAGTATCCCCAAATCCCCTCCCACTCCCCCCCAGTTTATCCCAGTCCCATCCCAGTCCCTCCCAGTCCATCCCAATCCCCTCCCAGCCTCCCCCCAGTCCCTCCCAGTTTATCCCAGTATCCATAACTCCATTCCCAGTCCCTCCCAGTTTATCCCAGTCCGTCCCAGTCCCTCACCGGTTCCCAGCTGGGGCTGCACGCTGGGGTCGCTCACCACGGGCAGCAGGGCCCCGGTGAACGGGTGCCTCACCTGCCGGCCCTGCAGGTGCTGAGGGGGCGTGGTCAGACCGGGCCACGCCCCCCGAGCCACGCCCTAACCGCGACCGACACGTGCCGGCCCTCTACGAGCCTCCGAGTAAGCCCCGCCCCTTTGTGGGCGGAGCTATTCCTAACCAATCCCTGGCTGGCTGGCTGTGAGATGGCCCCGCCCAGCCATCGGCCACGCCCCCAGAGGCACTTAAGGCAGCAAAGCCCCACCCCCAGCCATGAAGCTCCACCCCTTTCCCTAAGCCCCACCTTTTTACCCTTATATGGATATTCAGAAAGGGGGAGGAGCTAAACCCAGACAGCCAATGGCTGCCCTGCAGGGGAGCCACACCCATAAGACACACCCATAATTGCCACAAATTTTGGGGTCCCCAAGGCTCCGCCCCTCCAGGTGACAACACATCTGTGTGAGGCCACGCCCACCAGGTAAGGCCACGCCCCTCTATGTGAGACCCCACCCATCCCAATGAAGCCACACCCCTCTAGGTGAAGGAAGCCCCACCCATCCAAGTGGAGCCCTGCCCCTCCAGGCTCAGCCCCGCCCATTCCAATGAAGCCCCGCCCACCAGTTAAGCCCCACCCCTCACCAGGTACCCGCGGGCGCTGCAGCCTCAATGAAGCCCCGCCCCTCCAGATGAAGCCACACCCCCCCAGGTTAAATTAAGCCCCGCCCATCCCGGTGAAGCCCCGCCCCTCACCAGGTACCCGCGGGCGCTGCAGCCTCAATGAAGCCCCGCCCATCCCAATGAAGCCCCGCCCATCCCGGTGAAGCCCCGCCCCTCACCAGGTACCGGGGGTCCTGTGGGTGCATGACCATGGCCCCAGTGAAGCCCCGCCCATCCCAATGAAGCCCCGCCCATCCCGGTGAAGCCCCGCCCATCCCGGTGAAGCCCCGCCCCTCACCAGGTACCGGGGGTCCTGTGGGTGCATGACCATGGCCCCAGTGAAGCCCCGCCCATCCCAATGAAGCCCCGCCCATCCCAATGAAGCCCCGCCCATCCCGGTGAAGCCCCGCCCCTCACCAGGTACCGGGGGTCCTGTGGGTGCATGGCCATGGCCCCAGTGAAGCCCCGCCCATCCCAATGAAGCCCCGCCCATCCCAATGAAGCCCCGCCCATCCCGGTGAAGCCCCGCCCCTCACCAGGTACCGGGGGTCCTGTGGGTGCACGGCCACGGCCACGTCCCCAAAGAGCGTCTCAGGGCGGGTGGTGGCCACAGGGACCTCCAACCCTGGGGACACAGGGGGACACCGTCAGGGACAGTGGGGACATTGTTGGGGACATTGGGGACACACTGGGGACAGAGTGGGGACATCATCAGGGACAGTGGGGACACAGTGGGGACACAGTGGGGACACCATCAGGGACATTGGGGACATCGTCAGGGACATTGGGGACACAGTGGGGACATCATCAGGGACAGTGGGGACACAGTGGGGACACAGTGGGGACATCATCAGGGACAGTGGGGACATCGTCAGGGACAGTGGGGACACAGTGGGGACATCATTGGGGACATTGGGGACACATTGGGGACAGTGGAGACACTCACAGGACACCCAGGGGACACTCAAGGGACATCAGGGACACTCAGAGGACACCAAGGTGAGACCCACAGGACAGCCAGGGGACAGCCAGGGGACACTCAGGGGACACTCAGGTGATGCTCAGGATGTCCCCAGTGCCACCCTGGCTGTCCCCAGTGTCCCCAATGCCACCCTCAACGTCCCCAGTGCCACCCCTCAGTGCCACCCTCGTTGTCCCCAGTGCCACCCTCAGTGTCCCCGTTGTCCCCAGTGCCACCACCCACCGTCGTCCCCCTCCACGGGGTAGGCGAAGGTGACGAGGACGCCGAAGGTGACGGGGTGGGGACAGTTGGGGACACTCAGCGCCGTGGGGCCCTTCAGGACACGGGGCTCCACCTGCGGGGACAGTTGGGGACATTGGGGGACATTGAGGGATTGGGGACATTGGGGACATTGGGGCACTAGGAACATTGGGGACATTTGGGGACATTGGGGACACCTCGACGTCGGCCAGCGCCGATCTGAGGGCGCAGCTCCAGGTCACACTGGGGACATTGGGGACATTGGGGACATTGGGGACACCTCCACATCCGCCAGCGCCGATCTGAGGGCGCAGCTCCAGGTCACACTGGGGACATTGGGGACATTGGGGACATTGGGGACACCTCCACATCCGCCAATGCCGATCTGAGGGCGCAGCTCCAGGTCACACTGGGGACATTGGGGACATTGGGGACATTGGGGACATTGGGGACACCTCCACATCCGCCAATGCCGATCTGAGGGCGCAGCTCCAGGTCACACTGGGGACATTGGGGACATTGGGGACATTGGGGACATTGGGGACATTGGGGACATTGGGGACACCTCCACATCCGCCAATGCCGATCTGAGGGCGCAGCTCCAGGTCACACTGGGGACATTGGGGACATTGGGGACATTGGGGACACCTCCACATCCGCCAATGCCGATCTGAGGGCGCAGCTCCAGGTCACACTGGGGACATTTGGGGACATTGGGGACATTGGGGACATTGGGGACACCTCCACATCCGCCAATGCCGATCTGAGGGCGCAGCTCCAGGTCACACTGGGGACATTTGGGGACATTGGGGACATTGGGGACATTGGGGACACCTCCACATCCGCCAGCGCCGATCTGAGGGCGCAGCTCCAGGTCACACTGGGGACACTGGGGACATTGGGGACATTTGGGGACACCTCCACATCCGCCAGCGCCGATCTGAGGGCGCAGCTCCAGGTCACCGCCCTCAGGTCCCTGCGGATCAGCCCGGCCTCGAAGAGACGCACGAAGGCCTCGGTGACAGCGCGGGAGAAACCCTGGGGACGGCACGGCCGCGCTTGGGGACACGCGGGGACACCGCGGGGACGGGTCAGGGAGGTTTGGGGACGTCTGGGGAGGGTTTGGGGACAGTTTGGGGACAGGCCGAGGAGGTTTGGGGACATTTCGGGGAGCTTTGGGGACACTTTGGGGACAGTTCGGGGAGGTTTGGGGACATCTGGGGATACCATGGGGACATTTGGGGACAGTTTGGGGAGGTTTGGGGACAGTTCAGGGAGGTTTGGGACACTTGGGGACACTTTGGGGACACTTTGGGGACAGCTCAGGGAGGTTTGGGGACATTTGGGGACACTTTGGGGACAGTTCAGGGAGGTTTGGGGACATTTGGGGACACTTTGGGGATGTTTGGGGATGTTTGGGGACAGTTTGGGGAGGTCTGGGGACAGTTCAGGGAGGTTGGGGACACTTGGGGACACTTTGGGGACAGTTCAGGGAGGTTTGGGAACATTTGGGGACAGTTTGGGGACACTTTGGGGACACTTTGGGGAGGTTTGGGGACACTTGGGGACAGTTTGGGGATGTTTGGGGACAGTTCAGGGAGGCTTGGGGACATTTGGGGACACTTTGGGGACAGTTCAGGGAGGTTTGGGGACACTTGGGGACAGTTTGGGGATGTTTGGGGACAGTTCAGGGAGGCTTGGGGACATTTGGGGACACTTTGGGGACAGTTCAGGGAGGCTTGGGGACATTTGGGGACACCACGGGGACATTTGGGGACAGTCTGGGGACAGTTCAGGAAGGTTTGGGGACATTTGGGGACAGTTCAGGAAGGCTTGGGGACGTTTTGGGGGAGTTCAGGGAGGTCTGGGGCACTCTGGGGGCACTCGGGGACACTCCAGGGGCACTTGGGGACAGTTTGGTGACGCTGTGGTGACACTTGGGGACAGTTTGGTGGCACTCACGGGGTCCATGGTGAAGGCGCAGCGGCTCCAGTCCAGCGAGGCCCCGAGCGCCCGCAGCTGCTGCAGGATCTGCTGCCCGTGCCTGGGGACATTGGGGACATTGGGGACATTGGGGACATTGGGGACAGCGCCTCAGGGCCACCAGTGTCCCCAGCGGTGTCCCCAGGGTGGCCCCAGTGTCTCCAATGTCCCCAATGTCCCCAGCGTGTCCCCCAATGTTCCCCGATGTCCCCCGTTATCCCCAATGTCCCCTGCGTGTCCCCAGCGTCCCTGATGTCTCCAACGCGTCCTCAATGTCCCCAATGTCGTCCCCAGTGTCCCCAACGTTGTCCCCATTATCCCCAATGTCCCCGAGGATGTCCCCGATGCGTCCCCAGTGTCCTCAATCCCCCCAGTGTCCCCACTGTCCCCAGTGTCTGAAATGTCCCCTATCCCCAGTGTCCCCAATGTGTCCCCAGTGTCCCTCTCAATGTCCCCTCAATCCCCCCAATGTCCCCAATGTCCCCCCTGTCCCCAATGTCCCCTCTGTCCCCAGTGTCCCCACTCTCCCCTCCCTGTCCCCATTGTCCCCGCTGTCCCCGCTGTCCCCATTGTCCCCGTTGTCCCCAATGTCCCCATTGTCCCCATTGTCCCCAATGTCCCCATTGTCCCCGCTGTCCCTGCTGTCCCCAATGTCCCCCCTGTCCCCATTGTCCCCCCTGTCCCCGCTGTCCCCCCTGTCCCCAATGTCCCCAATGTCCCTCCTGTCCCCGCTGTCCCCCCTGTCCCCAATGTCCCCATTGTCCCCAATGTCCCCATTGTCCCCGCTGTCCCCAATGTCCCCACTGTCCCCGCTGTCCCCGCTGTCCCCATTGTCCCCGCTGTCCCCATTGTCCCCGCTGTCCCCCCTGTCCCCCCTGTCCCCAGTGTCCCCATTGTCCCCATTGTCCCCGCTGTCCCCATTGTCCCCGCTGTCCCCCCTGTCCCCAGTGTCCCCATTGTCCCCATTGTCCCCGTTGTCCCCAATGTCCCCGCTGTCCCCACTGTCCCCACTGTCCCCGTTGTCCCCATTGTCCCCAATGTCCCCATTGTCCCCATTGTCCCCAATGTCCCCAATGTCCCCGCTGTCCCCATTGTCCCCAATGTCCCCAATGTCCCCGCTGTCCCCGCTGTCCCCATTGTCCCCAATGTCCCCAATGTCCCCGCTGTCCCCGCTGTCCCCAATGTCCCCGCTGTCCCCATTGTCCCCAATGTCCCCAATGTCCCCGCTGTCCCCGCTGTCCCCAATGTCCCCGCTGTCCCTCACCGCTCTGTCCAGCCCCAGACCTCGCTCAGGAACCGATCCCGGCCCAGCTCCTGCCGGCGGCACCCGCGGTGCTGCCACAGCCAGCGCTCCACCACGGCCTGGGGACACATTGGGGACATTGGGGACATTGGGGACATTGGGGACATTGGGGACATTGGGGACAGCCCGCGGTGCTGCCACAGCCAGCGCTCCACCACGGCCTGGGGACACATTGGGGACATTGGGGACACATTGGGGACATTGGGGACATTGGGGACAGCCCGCGGTGCTGCCACAGCCAGCGCTCCACGATGGCCTGGGGACACATTGGGGACATTGGGGACATTGGGGACAGCCCGCGGTGCTGCCACAGCCAGCGCTCCACGATGGCCTGGGGACACATTGGGGACATTGGGGACATTGGGGACATTGGGGACAGCCCGCGGTGCTGCCACAGCCAGCGCTCCACCACGGCCTGGGGACACATTGGGGACATTGGGGACATTGGGGACATTGGGGACAGCCCGCGGTGCTGCCACAGCCAGCGCTCCACCACGGCCTAGGGACACATTGGGGACATTGGGGACATTGGGGACACATTGGGGACAGCCCGCGGTGCTGCCACAGCCAGCGCTCCACCACGGCCTGGGGACACATTGGGGACATTGGGGACATTGGGGACATTGGGGACACATTGGGGACATTGGGGACACATTGGGGACATTGGGGACATTGGGGACATTGGGGACAGCCCGCGGTGCTGCCACAGCCAGCGCTCCACGATGGCCTGGGGACACATTGGGGACACATTGGGGACACATTGGGGACATTGGGGACATTCGGGACATTGGGGACATCATTGGGGACAATGGGGACATCATTGGGGACACCGGGGACATTGAGGGCATTAGGGACACATTGGGGACATCCCTGGAGACAAGACAAGAAAATTTGGGGACATTTCAGGAGAATTTGGGGACATTTGGGGACACACCTGGGTGGCAATGCCAGCGTGGGGATGCTCAGAAGGGATTTGGGGACATTTGGGGACATTTTGGGGACATTTGGGGACATTTGGGGACACACCTGGGTGGCAATGCCGATGTGGGGATGCTCAGAAGGGATTTGGGGACATTTGGGGACATTTTGGGGAGATTTTGGGGACATTTGGGGACACACCTGGGTGGCAATGCCGGCGTGGTCGGTGCCCGGCACCCACAGGACGTTCCAGCCCTGCATCCTCCGCCTGTGCCCAAAAAAACCCCAAATTATCCTGAAATAACCCCAAAACATCCCTGAAACAGCCCCCCAAAACCCCCCAGACCCCCCAAAATCCACCAAATCCCCCCAAACCCGCTCAAACCCCCGAAAACCCCCCAAAATCCCACCCAAAACCCCCCAGACCCCCCAAAATCCCACCCAAATCCCCCCAAACCCCCCAAAATCCCACCCAAACCCCCCCAAACCCCCCAAAATCCCACCCAAATCCCCCCAAACCCCCCAAAATCCCACCCAAACCCCCCCAAACCCCCCAAAATCCCACCCAAACCCCCCCAAACTCACCCCAAAATCCCACCCAAACCCCCCCAAACTCACCCCAAATCCCCCCAAACCCCCCAAAACCCCCTAAAACCCCCCAAAATCCCACCCAAACCCCCCCAGACTCACCCCAAAATCCCCCCCAAATCCCTCTCAAACCCCCAAACCCACCCGAAATCCCCCCAAATCCCAATCAAACACCCCCCAGACCCCCCCCAAAATCCCCCCAGACCCCCCAAGATTGCCCTTAGACCCCCCTAAACCCCCCAAACCCCCCCCCAAACCCCACTCAAACTGCCCCAAACTCGCCCCAAAACCCCCTCTCAACCCCCTCAGACCCCCCAAAATGCCCCCAGACCCCCCCAAAATCCCACTCAAACCCCCAAAACTCCCCCCAAAAATCCCCCCCAAATCCCCCCAAAATCCCCCAAATCCCACCCAAACCCCACTCAAACTGCCCCAAGCTCCCCCCAAAATCCCACTCAAACCCCTCTCAACCCCCCCAGACCCCCAAAACCCCCCCAGACCCCCCAAAATCCCCCAAAATCCACTCAAACCCCCTCTCAACCCCCCCAATTGCTCTTAGACCCCCTCAGACCCCCCCAAACCCCCCAGAACCCCCAAATCCTCCCAGACCTCCCCAATTCCCACTCAAACCCCCCAGACCCCCCCACCCAATCCCAATTCCCCCCAAAAATCCCACCGAACCCCCCCAAACCCCACTCAAAATCCCCCCAGACCCCCAAAATTGCTCTTAGACCCTCCAGACCCCCACATCCCACCCAAGCCCCCCCCACACATCCCCCAAATCCCACCCAAACCCCCCCAGACCCCCAAAATCCCCCCAAACCCCCACTCAAACCCCCCCAGACCCCCCAAATCCCCCTTAAAACCCCCAAAATGCCCCCCAAACCCCAACACAACTCCCCAAAATCCCCCCCAACCCCACTCAAACTCCCCCAAACTCACCCTAAAACCCCTCAGACCCCCCAAAACCCCCTCGGACCCCCCGAAATCCCCTAAAACCCCCCAAACCGCCCCAAATCTCACTCAGGCCTCTCCAAACTCCCTCCCAACACCCCCCAAACCCCGCTCAAACTGCCCCAAACTGCCCCCAAACCTCATTCAAACCCCCCAAAATCCCCCTCAGACCCCCCAAATCCCCTCAAAACCCCCCAATCCCCCTCAGACCCCCCAAATCCCCTCAAAACCCCCCCAAATCCCCTCAACACCCCCAAATCCCCCTCAGACCCCCCAAATCCCCCTCAGACCCCCCAAATCCCGCTCAAACCCCACTCAAGCTCCCCCAAACTCACCCCAAATCCCCCCCAGACCCCCCCAAAACCCCCCCAGACTCCCCAAACCCCCCCCAAAATCCCACTCAAACCCCCAAAACACCCCCAAAATCCCCCATAACTCCCCAAAATGTCCCCAAAATCCCCCCAAACCCCCCCAAAATCCCACTCAAACCTCCTCTCAACCCCCCCGAAATTGCTCTCAGACCCCCCTCGGACCCCCCCAAACTTGCCCCAAAACCCTCTCAGACCCCCCAAATCCCCTCAAAACCCCCCAAATCCCACTCAAACCCCCAAAACACCCCCAACATCCCCCCAAATCCCCCATAACTCCCCAAAAACCCCACCCAAACCCCACTCAACTGCCCCAAACTCGCCCCAAAACCCCCCTCTCAACCCCTCAGACCCCCCCAAAATCCCCCCAAACCCCCCCCAAAATCCCACTCAAACCCCCAAAATCCCCCAAATCCCACCCAAATCCCACCCAAACCCCACTCAAACGGCCCCAAAATCCCCCCAAAATCCCACTCAAACCCCCAAAACACCCCCAAAATCCCCCATAACTCCCCAAAATGTCCCCAAAATCCCCCAAACCCCCCCAAAATCCCACTCAAACCTCCTCTCAACCCCCCCGAAAATTGCTCCTAGACCCCCCTCGGACCCCCCCAAACTTGCCCCAAAACCCCTCTCAGACCCCCCCAAATCCCCTCACAAACCCCCCAAATCCCACTCAAACCCCCCAAATCCCACTCAAACCCCCAAAACACCCCCAAAATCCCCCCCAAATCCCCCATAACTCCCCAAAACCCCACCCAAACCCCACTCAAACTGCCCCAAACTCGCCCCAAAACCCCCTCTCAACCCCCTCAGACCCCCCAAAATCCCCCCAAACCCCCCCCAAAATCCCACTCAAACCCCCAAAATCCCCCAAAATCCCACCCAATCCCACCCAAACCCCACTCAAACGGCCCCAAAATCCCCCAAAATCCCACTCAAACCCCCAAAACACCCCCAAAATCCCCCATAACTCCCCAAAATGTCCCCAAAATCCCCCCAAACCCCACCCAAAATCCACTCAAAACCTCCTCTCAACCCCCCCGAAATTGCTCCTAGACCCCCTCGGACCCCCCCAAACTTGCCCCAAAACCCCTCTCAGACCCCCCCAAATCCCTCAAAACCCCCCAAATCCCACTCCAGACCCCCCCAAATCCCACTCAAACCCCCAAAACACCCCCAAAATCCCCCCCAAATCCCCCATAACTCCCCAAAACCCCACTCAAACTGCCCCAAACTCGCCCCAAAACCCCCTCTCAACCCCTCAGACCCCCCAAATCCCCCCAAATCCCCCCCAAATCCCCCCGTACATCTGACCAGGGCGTCCTGCAGGCTGACCCCCAGGGCGTGGCCCAGGTGCAGCGACCCCGTCACGTTGGGGGGGGGGCAGCACCAGGCTCAGCACCGGGGACCCCCCCGACACCTGGGGGGGGGGGCAGGAGTTGGGGTGACCCCCCCAGGAGGGGATGGACCCCCCCCCCAGGTGAATTTTGGGGGGGTCCCCAGGTGGTTTTGGAGCCCCCCAGGTGAATTTTGGGGGGGGTCCCAGGTGGTTTTGGGGCCCCCCAGGTGAATTTTGGGGCCCCCCCAGGTGAATTTGAACCCGCCAGATGAATTTTGGGGGTCCCCAGGTGAATTTTGGGGTTCCCAGGTGGTTTTGGGGCCCCCCAGGTGTGTTTTGAACCCCCCCAGGTGAATTTTGGGGTTCCCAGGTGGTTTTGGGGCCCCCCAGGTGTGTTTTGAACCCCCCCAGGTGAATTTTGGGGTTCCCAGGTGGATTTGGGGTTCCCCAGGTGAATTTTGGGGGTCCCCAGGTGAATTTTGGGGGTCCCCAGGTGAATTTTGGGGTTCCCCAGGTGGTTTAGGGGCTCCTCAGGAGGATTTGGGCCCCCCCCAGGGAATTTTTGGGGCCCCCCAGGTGAATTCTGGGGTTCCTCAGGTGAATTTCTACCCCCCTAAAATGATTTTTGGGGTTCCCCAGGTGGGGCTGAACCCCCTCAGGTGAATTTTGGGGATCCCCAGGCGATTTTTTTACCCCCCCCCCAAAGATGATTTTGGGGTTCCCCAGGTGAATTTTGGGGCTCCCCAGGTAGATTTAGGCCCCCCCCCCAAAATGATTTTTGAGGCCCCCCCCAGGTGTTTATTTGACCCTCCCAGGTGATTTTTGGGGTTCCCCAGATAATTTTGGGGTTCCCCAGGTGATTTTTGGGGTCCCCCCAGGTGATTTTGGGGTCCCCCCTCACCTGCCCAGGTGCGCTGGGGCTGAAGACCCCTCCCCTCTCCCACCATTGGTACCAGGCGGCCTCGACGTAGCGGGGGCTGTACCTGGGGGGGAGGGGCACGCCCGTGGCTGTGTCCCCAAGTGTCACCTCAGGGGGGTGGCACCCCAAAACCCCCCAAAAAATCCCAAAATCCCACCCAAAAACCCCAAAAATCCCCCAAAAAATCCGCTCAAAATTCATCAAAATCACTCCAAAATACACCCAAAAATCCCCCCAAAAAACCCCCCCAAAATCCGCTCAAAATTCATCAAATTCACTCCAAAATACACCCAAAAATCCCCAAAAAATCCCCCAAAAATCCACCCAAAACTCATCAAAATCACGCCAAAATACACCCAAAAATCCCCCAAAAACCCCCCCCAAAATCCGCTCAAAATTCATCAAATTCACCCTAAGATTCATCAAAAGCACCCCAAAATTCCACCCGAAATACCCAAAAATCCGCTTAAAATTCATCAAAATTCATCAAAGTCACCCCAAATTCAGGGCTGTACCTGGGGGGGAAGGGGCACGCCCGTGGCTGTGTCCCCAAAAGTGTCACCTCAGGGGGGTGGCACCCCAAAACCCCCCAAAAAATCCCAACATTCCACCCAAAAACCCCAAAAATCCCCAAAAAATCCGCTCAAAATTCATCAAAATCTGCTCAAAACCAGCTCAAATTCACCCCAAAATTCATCAAAATCACCCCAAAATTCAGGGCTGTACCTGGGGGGGGAGGGGCACGCCCGTGGCTGTGTCCCCAAAAGTGTCACCTCAGGGGGGTGGCACCCCAAAAACCCCCAAAATTCAGCAAAATCACCCCAAAAATCCACCCAAAATTCATCAAAATCACTCCAAAATACACCCAAAAATCCCCAAAACCCCCCCCCCCAAAATCCGCTCAAAATTCATCAAATTCCCCCTAAGATTCATCAAAAGCACCCCAAAATTCCACCCGAAATACCCAAAAATCCGCTTAAAATTCATCAAAATTCATCAAAGTCACCCCAAATTCAGGGCTGTACCTGGGGGGGGAGGGGCACGCCCGTGGCTGTGTCCCCAAAAGTGTCACCTCAGGGGGGTGGCACCCCAAAACCCCCCAAAAAATCCCAAAATTCCACCCAAAAACCCCAAAAACCCCGCTCAAAATTCATCAAAATCTGCTCAAAATTCACCAAAATCACCCCAAAATTCAGGGCTGTGTCCCCAGGTGTCACCTCAGGGGGGTGGCACTGCCACCGACCCCTCCTTGGGGACGCACCCGAGCCCCAAGATCGCCCAAATTCCCCCCAAATTTCCCAATTCCGCAGTTTTACCCTTTTTGCCGTCGGGCCCCAGCGGGTGCTGATATTCCACCTCAGCCTGGGGGCTCCAGCCCTTGGGCAGCGGCTGCGGCGCCTGCGGGACCAGTACAAACCAGTAGAAACCAGTACGGGCCAGTAGGGACCAATACTAATCAATACCAATTAATATAAACAAATTTAAACCAGTATAAACCAGTACACAGCGCCTAAAACCAGTCCGGACCAACGCACACCAGTACAAACCAACCAAACTCTGACCCAGTTTCTCCCAGTCCCCCCCAGTCCATCCCAGTACCCCCCAGTGCCCCCCAATCCCTCCCAGTCCCCCCAAATCCATTCCCAATCCCCTCCCAGTCCCCCCAAATCCTCTCCCAGTAACTCCCAGTCCCTCCCAGTCTCTCCCAGTCCCCCCCATTTCCTCACCTTCTCCTCCCTCTCCCCTCTCTCCCTCCTCAGCCGCAGCCGCTTCTCCCTCTGCTCCCGGCCCCGCAGCCTCGCCCGCTCGGGCCCGTCCCAGCCGGGGCTCGCGGGGCTCTCGGCGGCCGGAGGGGTCCCCGCCGAGCGGCTCCCGCTGCTCCAGCGCCGGGGCCGGGCCCGGGGAGCCCCGGGAGGCCCCAAAATCCGGGGGGCGCCGAGGGCGGCGCGGCTGAGGGAGGGCGCCGCCATCTTGGAACGGGGCGGGGCGGGACACGTGACCGGGGGAAAGGGCGGGAACAGCGTCACGCGACCGGGGAAAGGGCGGGAATAGCACCACGTGACCGGGGAAAAGGCGGGATTTTTAGGATGTGGGCGTGGCCTCGGCGGGAAGGGGGCGTGGCCTCGGGCCGCGGCGTGGGGTGAGCGATTGGGGGGATTTGGGGGAAATTTGGGGGATTTTGGGGAACTTTGGGGGATTTTGGGGTTTTTGGGGGGAAATTGGGGATGGAGGCTGGAGGGGAGCGAGGGGGTTTGGGGTAATTTGGGTTAATTGGGGGGTTTGGGGTAATTGGGGTTAATTGGGGAGGTTTGGGGGGGGGTTGGGGGAAATTTGGGGGATTTTGGGGTTTTGGGGAATTTTGGGGGAAAATTTGGGATGGGGGGCGGTGGGGGAGAGGGAGGGGCTAGAGGAGAGTGGGGAGGTTTGGGGTAATTGGGGTTAATTGGGGTTAATTAGGGGGGTTTGGGAGATAATTAGGGGAGGTGGCCCCAGGCGTGCCCAGGTGTAACCTGTGTGCAACCCGGGTGTAATTACTCAGGTGTAATTACTCAGGTGTAATTACTCAGGTGTAATTACTCAGGTGCAATGTCGCGGGTGCAGCTGCAGTGCAGGAACCTGCAGGAGTTCCTGCCCCAGGTGTAACCCAGGTGTAACCTGTGTGTAATCCAGGTGTATCTCCGGTGTAACCCGTGTGTAACCCAGGTGCAATGTCACGGGTGCAGCTCCAGTGTAAGAACGTGCAGGAGTTCCTGCCCCAGGTGTAACCCTGTTGTATCTCAAGTGTGATCCAGGTGTAACCTGTGTGCAACCTGTGTGTAACCCAGGTGTATCTCAGGTGTAACCTGTGTGTAACAGGTGCAATGTCGCGGGTGCAGCTCCAGTGTAAGAACCTGCAGGAGTTCCTGCCCCAGGTGTAACCCAGGTGTAACCTGTATATAACCTGTGTGTAACTCGTGTGTAACCCATGTGTAACCTGTGTGTAACAGGTGCAATGTCGCGGGTGCAGCTCCAGTGTAAGAACCTTCAGGAGTTCCTGCCCCAGGTGTAACCCGTATATAACCCGTGTGTAACCTGTGTGTAACCCGTGTGTAACCCGTGTGTAACCCGTGTGTAACAGGTGCAATGTCGCGGGTGCAGCTCCAGTGTAAGAACCTGCAGGAGTTCCTGCCCCAGGTGTAACCCAGGTGTAACCCGTGTGTAACCCGTGTGTAACCCGTGTGTAACAGGTGCAATGTCGCGGGTGCAGCTCCAGTGTAAGAACCTTCAGGAGTTCCTGCCCCAGGTGTAACCCAGGTGTAACCCAGGTGTAACCCGTATATAACCTGTGTGTAACCCGTGTGTAACCTGTGTGTAACCCGTGTGTAACAGGTGCAATGTCGCGGGTGCAGCTCCAGTGTAAGAACCTGCAGGAGTTCCTGCCCCAGGTGTAACCCAGGTGTAACCCAGGTGTAACCCGTATATAACCTGTGTGTAACCCGTGTGTAACCCGTGTGTAACCCGTGTGTAACCCGTGTGTAACCCAGGTGCAATGTCGCGGGTGCAGCTCCAGTGTAAGAACCTGCAGGAGTTCCTGCCCCAGGTGTAACCCAGGTGTAACCCTGGTGTAACCCAGGTGTAACCTGTGTGTAACCCGTGTGTAACCCGTGTGTAACCCATGTGTAACCCAGGTGCAATGTCGCGGGTGCAGCTCCAGTGTAAGAACCTGCAGGAGTTCCTGCCCCAGGTGTAACCCAGGTGTAACCTGTGTGTAACCCGTGTGTAACCCGTGTGTAACCTGTGTGTAACCCAGGTGCAATGTCGCGGGTGCAGCTCCAGTGTAAGAACCTGCAGGAGTTCCTGCCCCAGGTGTAACCCAGGTGTAACCTGTGTGTAACCCGTGTGTAACCCGTGTGTAACCTGTGTGTAACAGGTGCAATGTCGCGGGTGCAGCTCCAGTGTAAGAACCTTCAGGAGTTCCTGCGCGGGCTCAGCCCCCCCACCCTGGACCGGCTCTATGGGCACCCGGCCACCTGCCTGGCCGTCTTCAGGTGCGTAATTAGCGCTAATTAACGTTAATTAACCCGTAATTATCGCTTAATTAACCCTGGGTTATTCCCTTATTAATCCTAATTAACCAAAATTTAAGCCTAAATAACCCAAAATAATCTTGTGTCACCTGCCTGGTCGTGTGCAGGTGGGTAATTAGCGCTAATTAACATTAATTAGCCTTTAATTAATCTTTTATTAGTTCTTTATTAACTCAGTTTCAGCGAAAATATACCCAAATTAAACTTAATATCACAAAATAACCTTGTGTCACCTGCCTGGCCGTCTTCGGGTGGGTAATTAACACCAATTAATGCTAATTAACCATTAATTGTCCTTTTATTAATCTTTTATTAGTTATTTATTAACTCAAATCAAGTAAAAATATTCTCAAATTAAACTTAAATATCCCAAAATAGCCCACGCCACTTGCCTGGCCATTTTCTGGCAGGACTAATTAACCCTAATTAAGGCTAATTAGTTCTAATTAACCCAAAATAACCCCGTGACCTCTTCCTGGGGTGTTCAAGTGAGACAAAATGACCCAAAATATCCCTAAACCCCCTAATTAACGGAAAATAACCCTGTGCCGCTTACCTGGCTGTCTTCAGGTGGGCGAATTAATCCTAATTAATCTGTAATTAACGCTAATTAGCCCTAATGAACCCGCAGGGAGCTGCCGGGGCTGGCGCAGGCCGGGATTTGGGCAGTTTTTGGTGGATTTTGGGGCGTTTTTGATCATTTTGGGGCCGTTTTTTGATGGGATTTTGGGATTTTTTGGGTTTTTTTTGGGTGGGGTTTTTGGTGTGATTTTTGGGGTGCTGACCCCCCAATTTCCTCCGCAGGGAGCTGCCGGGGCTGGCACAGGCCGGGATTTGGGGCCGTTTTTGGTGGATTTTGGGGCCGTTTTTGATCATTTTGGGGCCGTTTTTTGATGGGATTTTGGGGCCGTTTTGGTGGGATTTTGGGATTTTTTGGCGGTTTTTTTTTTGGGTGGGTTTTTGGGGTGATTTTTGGGTGCTGACCCCCAGATTTCCTCCGCAGGGAGCTGCCGGGGCTGGCGCAGGCCGGATCATGCGGATGCTGTTCCTGGAGCAGCCGCTGCCCCAGGCGGCCGTGGGGCTCTGGGTCAAGAAGGAGCACAGCAGGTTGGGGCTGGGGAGATTTGGGGTCCGGGGGGATTTTGGGGGTCCCCGAGGGTCCTGGGTGGATTTGGGGGGTCCTGGGGGGATTTGGGGGGATTTCAGGGGGATTTGGGGTGTCCTGAGGGTGAAAATTTGGGTTTTTGGGGAGCAGCTTTGGGTCAGGAAGGAGCACAGCAGGTGGGGCTGGGGGAGATCTTGGGGGGATTTTGGGGTCCTGGGGGAGATTTGGGGGTCCTGGGGGCTTTGGGGGGTCCTGGGGGTGATTTGGGGGGTCCTGGGGTGGATTTGGGGGGTCCTGGGTGGATTTGGGGGGATTTCAGGGGGATTTTGGGGGGTTCTGTGAGGGAAATTTGGGGTTTTGGGAGGAGGCTTGGGTCAGGAAGGAGCACAGCCGGTGGGGCTGGGGGAGATTTGGGGGGGATTTGGGGGATTTTTGGGGTCCCCGAGGTCCTGGGTGGATTTTGGGGGGATTTCAGGGTGTTTTGGGGGTCCTGGGGTGGATTTGGGGAGGCAAATTGGGGTTTTTGGGGGTGGTTTTGGTCAGGAAGGAGCACAGCCGGTGGGGCTGGGGGCGATTTTGGGGGATTTGGGGGGTCCTGGGGAGATTTTGGGGATCCCCGGGGTCCTGGGGTGGATTTGGGGGGATTTCAGGGGGATTTTTGGGGGTTCTGTGAGGGAAATTTGGGGTTTTGGGTCAGGAAGGAGCACAGCCGGTGGGCTGGGGGCGATTTTGGTGCGGTTTGTGTAATTTTGGAGCTGTTTCGTTGGATTTTGGGGTGATTGTGTGGCAATTTTGGGGCGATTTTGTGGCAATTTTGGTGCGGCTTGTGTGATTTTGGTGTGACTTGTGTGATTTTGGGGCGATTTTGTGGCAATTTTGGGGTGGTTCTGTGTGATTTTGGTGTGATTTGTGTGATTTTGGGGTGATTGTGTGGCAATTTTGGTGCAGTTTGTGTGATTTTGGTGCGATTTGTGTGATTTTGGGGTGATTTTGGTGGGATTTTATGGCCGTTTTTGGGGTGATGTTGTGGCTATTTTGGGGCAATGTTTGTGGTCATTTTGGGGTGGTTCTGTGTGATTTTGGGGCTGTTTTGTGCAATTTTCTGTGGTTTTGGTGCGATATGTGTAATTTTGGAGCTGTTTTGTGTGATTTTGGAGTGATTTTCTGTGATTTTTGGGCGATTTTGTGTGATTTTGGTGTGATTTTCTGTGATATTGGGGTGAATTGGGGGCGATTTTCTGTGATTTTGGAGCTGTTTTTTATGATTTTGGGGTGATTTTGTGGGATTTTGGGGCGATTTTGTGGGGTTTTGGTGCGGTTTGTGTAATTTTGGAGCTGGTTTTTATGATTTTGGGGTGATTTTGTGGGATTTTGGGGCGATTTTGTGGGGTTTTGTGCGGTTTGTGTAATTTTGGAGCTGTTTTTTATGATTTTGGGGTGATTTTGTGGGATTTTGGGGCGATTTTGTGGGGTTTTGGTGCGGTTTGTGTAATTTTGGAGCTGTTTTTTATGATTTTGGGGTGATTTTGTGGGATTTTGGGGCGATTTTGTGGGTTTTGGTGCGGTTTGTGTAATTTTGGAGCTGTTTTTTATGATTTTGGGGTGATTTTGTGGGATTTTGGGCGATTTTGTGGGATTTTGGTGCGGTTTGTGTAATTTTGGAGCTGTCTTTTATGATTTTGGGTGATTTTGTGGGATTTTGGGGCGATTTTGTGGGGTTTTGGTGCGGTTTGTGTAATTTTGAGCTGTTTTTATGATTTTGGGGTGATTTTGTGGGATTTCTGGGGCGATTTGTGGGGTTTTGGTGCGGTTTGTGTAATTTTGGAGCTGTTTTTTATGATTTTGGGGCGATTTTGTGGGATTTTGGGGCGATTTTGTGGGGCTTTGGTGCGGTTTGTGTAATTTTGGAGCTGGTTTTTATGATTTTGGGGTGATTTTGTGGGATTTTGGGGCGATTTTGTGGGGCTTTGGTGCGGTTTGTGTAATTTTGGAGCTGTCTTTTATGATTTTGGGGTGATTTTGTGGGATTTTGGGGCGATTTTGTGGGTTTTGGTGCGGTTTGTGTAATTTTGGAGCTGTTTTTTATGATTTTGGGGTGATTTTGTGGGATTTTGGGGCGATTTTGTGGGATTTTGGTGCGGTTTGTGTAATTTTGGAGCTGTCTTTTATGATTTTGGGGTGATTTTGTGGGATTTTGGGGCGATTTTGTGGGGTTTGGTGCGGTTTGTGTAATTTTGGAGCTGTTTTTTATGATTTTGGGGTGATTTTGTGGGATTTTGGGGCGATTTTGTGGGGTTTTGGTGCGGTTTGTGTAATTTTGGAGCTGGTTTTTTATGATTTTGGGGTGATTTTGTGGGATTTTGGGCGATTTTGTGGGGTTTTGGTGCGGTTTGTGTAATTTTGGAGCTGTTTTTTATGATTTTGGGGTGATTTTGTGGGATTTTGGGGCGATTTTGTGGGGTTTTGGTGCGGTTTGTGTAATTTTGGAGCTGTTTTTTATGATTTTGGGGTGATTTTGTGGGATTTTGGGGCGATTTTGTGGGGTTTTGGTGCGGTTTGTGTAATTTTGGAGCTGTTTTTTATGATTTTGGGGCGATTTTGTGGATTTTGGGGCGATTTTGTGGGGTTTTGGTGCGGTTTGTGTAATTTTGGAGCTGTTTTTTATGATTTTGAGGTGATTTTGTGGATTTTGGGGCGATTTTGTGGGGTTTTGGTGCGGTTTGTGTAATTTTGGAGCTGTTTTTTATGATTTTGAGGTGATTTTGTGGGATTTTGGGGCGATTTTGTGGGGTTTTGGTGCGGTTTGTGTTATTTTGGAGCTGTTTTTTATGATTTTGGGGTGATTCTGTGGCAATTTTGGGGCGATTTTGTGGGGTTTTGGTGCGGTTTGTGTAATTTTGGAGCTGTTTTTTATGATTTTGGGGTGATTTTGTGGGATTTTGGGGCGATTTTGTGGGGTTTTGGTGCGGTTTGTGTAATTTGGAGCTGTCTTTTATGATTTTGGGGTGATTTTGTGGGATTTTGGGGCGATTTTGTGGGGTTTTGGTGCGGTTTGTGTAATTTTGGAGCTGTTTTTTATGATTTCGGGGTGATTTTGTGGGATTTTGGGGTGATTTTGTGGGATTTTGGGGCGATTTTGTGGGGTTTTGGTGCGGTTTGTGTTGCAGGGAGCAGCAGCAGAGCCAGGAGGTGCTGCTGGAGCTGCGCCTGTGGCACCCCCACACCCTCCCGGGGGGGCTCCCGGGGGTCGCCCTGCACCCCAACTTCCGACAGAACCTGAGGGTGGCCCTGCTCGGGGGGTGAGCGAGGGGAAAAATGGGGGAAAAAAATGAAAAAATGGAGAAAAAAATGGCGGGAAAATGGAGGGGTAAAAATCAGAAAAAAATGGAGAAAAAATAAGGGGAAAATGGGGATAAAATTGGGGGGAAATCAGAAAAAAATGGGGGGGAAAAGGCAGAAAAAATGGGGGGGGGGAATCAGAAAAAATGGGGAAAAAAGGCAGAAAAAATGGGGGGGTGAGCGGGGAAAACATGAGGGGAAATGGTAAAAAATGGGGGGAAAATCAGAAAAAAAGGGAGGAGAAATGAGAGTAGAACCCAGAAAAAATGGGGGGGGAAAATCAGAAAATATGGGAGAAAATAGGGGAAGAGTCAGGAAAAATTGGGGGGAAAATGAGTGAAAAAATCCGGAAAAATTGGGGGGAAATGGGGGACAATCAGAGAAAATGGGGGGAAAACCAGAAAAAATTGGGGGGGAATGGGGAAAAATGGGCAGAAAATAAGAAGAAGTTAGGCAAAAATGGGCAGAAAACGGGGGGAAAGATAGGCTGATTTTGGGGGTTCCTTCAGGGCCGAGGCCTATGTGGGAATTTAGGCCGAACAGCCAAAAATTGGGATTTGTGAGGAGATTTCTGGAAAATTTTGGGACTTTCTGGGTCTGGGGGTTTTGTGGGGTGGTTTTTGGGATGTTTTTTTGTGGTTTTTGGGTCCAAATCCCCTCAGGGTGGAGATTTTGCGGGGTCCTACAGCAGCAAGGCTGGTGTGGAAATTTAGGCCGAGCAGTCACAAAATTGGGATTTGTGAGGGGATTTCGGGAAGATTTTGGGACTTTCTGTGTCTGGGGGTTTTGGGGGCAGTTTTTGAGGGTTTTGGGGTTTTTTGGGGTGGTTTTTGGGGTCCAAATCCCCTCAGGGTGATGCTTTTGTGAGGTCCTACAGCAGCAAGGCCCGTGTGGGAATTTAGGCCAAACAACCAGAAAATTGGATTTATGAGGGGATTTCGGGAAGATTTTGGGACTTTCTGGGTCTGGGGGTTTTGTGGGGCGGTTTTTGGGGTTTTTTGGGGTGCTGACCCCCCCGGGTGCTGCGTTTTTGGGGTCCTGGCAGGGGCAAGGCCTGGTCGGACGACACGGCCCCGCTGGGCCCGGACCGGCACGCCCGCGACGTTCCCGCCCTGGACAAATACGCCGAGGAGCGCTGGGAGGTGGGAACTGGCACATTTTGGGATATTTTGGGGCATTTTATGGGATTTTATGGGATTTTGGGGGGTTTTGGGTGCTAATTAAGCTGAATTTTTATTATTTTCAGGTGGTTTTGCACTTCATGGTTGGGTCCCCGAGCGCGGCCGTCAGCCAGGACCTGGCGCAGCTGCTGGTGCAGGCCGGGCTCATGAAGAGGTTTGGGGGAATTTGGGGGAATTTGGGGGAATTTTTGGAATTTGGGGGAATTTGGGGGTTCTGAGGGGTTTTAGGGAGAATTTGGAGGGATTTGGGGAGTTTTTAGGGGGTTTTGGGGCAATTTTGTGGCCTGGCGCAGCTGCTGGTGCAGGCCGGGCTCATGAAGAGCTTTGGGGGAATTTGGGGGAATTTTGGGGGAATTTGGGAATTTTTGTGGAATTTGGGGATTTTGGGGGATTTTTGGGGGTCCTGAGGGGGTTTAGAGGGAATTTGGAGGGATTTGGGGAGGATTTGTGGGGGTTTGGGGGAGTTTTGGGGGGAATTTTGTGGCCTGGCGCAGCTGCTGGTGCAGGCCGGGCTCATGAAGAGCTTTGGGGGAATTTTGGGGATTTTTGGGGGTCCTGAGGGGGTTTAGGGAGAATTTTGGGGCGTTTTTTAGGGATTTTAGAGAGTTTGGGGTTTTTTTTCGGTATTTTTTTGGGTTTTTTCAGGGGAATTTCGGGGCTTTCCCCAATTTTGGGGTCGCCAGGGAGGAGAATTGAGGATTTTAGGGAGGATTTTGGGCCGATTCATTTGCATTTTGGGGTGCTGTAAATTTGGAGTGATTCCTGCAGATTTAGGGTTTTTCTGACTCCCTCTCCCCATTTTTTGGGGTCCCCAGCGAGGGGGAAATTGGGGTTTTGGGGGAGGATTTTGGGGCCAATTTAGATGGAACTTAGGGAAGATTTTGGGGAGGATTTAATTGGATTTTAGGGGAGATTTTGGGGAGGACTTGATTGGATTTTAGGGGGGATTTTGGGGCTTTTTAATTGGATTTTAGGAGGATTTTGGGCCAATTTAGATGGAACTTAGGGAAGATTTTGGGGAGGATTTAATTGGATTTTAGGGGAGATTTTGGGGAGGACTTAATTGGATTTTAGGGCGGGTTTTGGGGCTTTTTAATTGGATTTTAGGGAGGATTTTGGGCCAATTTAGATGGAACTTAGGGAAGATTTTGGGAGGATTTAATTGGATTTTAGGGGAGATTTTGGGGAGGACTTAATTGGATTTTAGGGGGGATTTTGGGGCTTTTTAATTGGATTTTAGGGAGGATTTTGGGCCAATTTAGATGGAACTTAGGGAAGATTTTGGGGAGGATTTAATTGGATTTTAGGGGAGATTTTGGGGAGGACTTAATTGGATTTTAGGGGGGATTTTGGGGCTTTTTAATTGGATTTTAGGGAGGATTTTGGGCCAATTTAGATGGAACTTAGGGAAGATTTTGGGGAGGATTTAATTGGATTTTAGGGAGATTTTGGGGAGGACTTGATTGGATTTTAGGGGGGATTTTGGGGCTTTTTAATTGGATTTTAGGGAGGATTTTGGGCCAATTTAGATGGAACTTAGGGAAGATTTTGGGGAGGATTTAATTGGATTTTAGGGGAGATTTTGGGGAGGACTTGATTGGATTTTAGGGGGGATTTTGGGGCTTTTTAATTGGATTTTAGGAGGATTTTGGGCCAATTTAGATGGAACTTAGGGAAGATTTTGGGGAGGATTTAATTGGATTTTAGGGGAGATTTTGGGGAGGACTTAATTGGATTTTAAAGGGTTTTTGGGCCGATTTAGATGGAATTTAGGGAGGATTTTAGGCCAATTTAATGGGATTTTAGAGGGAATTTTGGCCCAATTCATTTGCGTTTTGGGGTGCTGTGACTTTGGGGTGATTCCTATGGATTTAGGGTTTTTCTGACTCCCTCTCCCCCATTTTTTGGGGTCCCCAGCGAGGGGGGGGAGCCCCCCTGCATCACCTCGGCCGGGTTCCAGTTCCTGCTGCTCGACACCCCCCGCCCAGCTCTGGTTCTTCATCCTGCAGTACCTCAGGGGGGCCGAGGTCAGGGAGCCCCAAAATCCCCCAAAATTCGGGTTCGGGGGAGCCCCAAACCCCCCAAAATTTGTGGGGTCCCCAAAAAACCCCGAATTCGCCTCAAAAATGAATCCTGGGGTTGGGGGTTTTGTCATCCAGGGGTGCCGGGAGGGAAATCCCGAAATTTTGGGGGGTCCCGAAATTTGGGGGGGGAGGTCCAAAATTTAATGTGTGCAGGGAGGGGTCCCAAGATTTGGGGGGGGGTCCCAAAATGTGGGGGAGTTCTCAAAAATTCTGGGGGATTTCTCCAAATTTTGGGGTTTTTTCGCCAAATTTGAAGCTTTTTCCCGATCTGGGGAAGTTCCCAAAATTGGGGGGGGGGGGTCCCAAAATTTGGGGTCTCAAAATCTGGGGGGGGCGGTCCCAAGATTTGGGGGGGGTCCCAAAATCGGGGGGGGGGGGTCCCAAAATTTTGGGGAGTTCCCTAAAATTTGGGTTTTTCCCCCAAATTTGAGGCTTTTCCCCAATCTGAGGAAGTACCCAAAATTGGGGGGGGGGTCCCGAAATTTGGGGGGGGGTCCAGAAAATCTGAGGGGGTCCCCAAGTTTGGGAGGGTCCCCAAATCTGTGGGATTTCCCAACAATTCTGGGGGATTTCGCCAAAATTTTGGGGTTTTTTTCCCCAAATTTGGGGGTTTTGCTTAAATCTGAAGAATTTGCCCAAATCTGGGGGGTCCCAAAAATCCCCAAATTTGGGTTGGGGGTCCCCAAAATCTCCCTGTGCCCCTCCCCAGGCGCGGGGGATGGACCTGGTGGAGATCCTGTCCTTCCTGTTCCAGCTGAGCTTCTCCACACTGGGAAAGGTGGGACTGGGATGGACTGGGACAAACTGGGAATGGAGTTATGGATACTGGGAGGGACTGGGACAAACTGGGATAAACTGGAATGGACTGGGAGGGACTGGGATGGGATTGGGTTAAACTGGGATGAACTGGGAGAGGACCTGGAGGAGATCCTGTCCTTCCTGTTCCAGCTGAGCTTCTCCACACTGGGAAAGGTGGGACTGGGATGGACTGGACAAACTGGGAATGGATTGGGAGGGACTGGGACAAACTGGGATAAACTGGGAATGGAGTTATGGGTACTGGGAGGGACTGGGATAAACTGGAATGGAGTTATGGGTACTGGGAGGGACTGGACAAACTGGGAATGGAGTTATGGGTACTGGGAGGGACTGGGACAAACTGGGAATGGAGTTATGGATACTGGGAGGGACTGGGACAAACTGGGAATGGAGTTATGGATACTGGGAGGGACTGGGACAAACTGGGAATGGATTGGGAGGGACTGGGACAAACTGGGAATGGAGTTATGGATACTGGGAGGGACTGGGACAAACTGGGATAAACTGGGAATGGACTGGGAGGGACTGGGATGGGATTGGGTTAAACTGGGATGAACTGGGAGAGGACCTGGTGGAGATCCTGTCCTTCCTGTTCCAGCTGAGCTTCTCCACACTGGGAAAGGTGGGACTGGGATGGACTGGGACAAACTGGGAATGGAGTTATGGATACTGGGAGGGACTGGGACAAACTGGGATAAACTGGGAATGGAGTTATGGATACTGGGATGGACTGGGACAAACTGGAATGGAGTTATGGATACTGGGGTGGACTGGGACAAACTGGGAGTGGAGTTATGGATACTGGGATGGACTGGGACAAACTGGGAATGGAGTTATGGATACTGGGATGGACTGGGACAAACTGGGAATGGAGTTATGGATACTGGGATGGACTGGGATAAACTGGGAATGGAGTTATGGATACTGGGATGGACTGGGACAAACTGGGAATGGAGTTATGGATACTGGGAGGGACTGGGACAAACTGGGAATGGAGTTATGGATACTGGGATGGACTGGACAAACTGGAGTGGAGTTATGGATACTGGGAGGGACTGGGACAAACTGGGAATGGAGTTATGGATACTGGGATGGACTGGGACAAACTGGGAATGGAGTTATGGATACTGGATGGACTGGGATAAACTGGGAGTGGAGTTATGGATACTGAGGTGGACTGGACAAACTGGGAATGGAGTTATGGATACTGGGGTGGACTGGGACAAACTGGGAGTGGAGTTATGGATACTGGGAGGGACTGGGACAAACTGGGAGGGACTGGGAATGGACTGGGAGGGACTGGGAATGGAGTTATGGATACTGGGAGGGACTGGGACAAACTGGGAGTGGAGTTATGGATACTGGAGGGACTGGGACAAACTGGGAATGGAGTTATGGATACTGGGATGGACTGGGAGGGACAGGGAGTGGAGTTATGGATACTGGAGGGACTGGGACAAACTGGGAGTGGAGTTATGGATACTGGGATGGACTGGGACAAACTGGGAATGGAGTTATGGACACTGGGATGGACTGGGACAAACTGGGAATGGATTGGGAGGGACTGGGACAAACTGGGAATGGAGTTATGGATACTGGGATGGACTGGGACAAACTGGGAGTGGAGTTATGGATACTGGGGTGGACTGGGATAAACTGGGAGTGGAGTTATGGATACTGGAGGGACTGGGACAAACTGGGAGTGGAGTTATGGATACTGGGATGGACTGGACAAACTGGGAATGGATTGGGAGGGACTGGGACAAACTGGGATAAACTGGGAATGGAGTTATGGGTACTGGGAGGGACTGGGATAAACTGGGAAAGGAGTTATGGGTACTGGGATGCACTGGGATAAACTGGGAATGGAGTTATGGGTACTGGGATGGACTGGGACAAACTGGGAATGGAGTTATGGATACTGGGATGGACTGGGACAAACTGGGAGTGGAGTTATGGATACTGGGATGGACTGGGACAAACTGGGAATGGAGTTATGGATACTGGGGTGGACTGGGATAAACTGGGAATGGAGTTATGGATACTGGGAGGGACTGGGACAAACTGGGAATGGAGTTATGGATACTGGGAGGGACTGGGATAAACTGGGAGTGGAGTTATGGATACTGGGATGGACTGGACAAACTGGAATGGATTGGGAGGGACTGGGACAAACTGGGATATACTGGGAATGGAGTTATGGATACTGGGATGGACTGGGATAAACTGGGAATGGAGTTATGGATACTGGGAGGGACTGGGACAACTGGGAATGGAGTTATGGATACTGGGAGGGACTGGGACAAACTGGGAGTGAGTTATGGATACTGGGAGGACTGGGACAAACTGGGAGTGGAGTTATGGATACTGGGATGGACTGGGATAAACTGGGAGTGGAGTTATGGATACTGGGATGGACTGGGACAAACTGGGAGTGGAGTTATGGATACTGGGAGGAACTGGGACAAACTGGGAGTGGAGTTATGGATACTGGGAGGGACTGGGACAAACTGGGAATGGAGTTATGGATACTGGGATGGACTGGGACAAACTGGGAATGGAGTTATGGATACTGGGAGGGACTGGGACAAACTGGGAGTGGAGTTATGGATACTGGGGTGGACTGGGATAAACTGGAATGGAGTTATGGATACTGGGATGGACTGGGACAAACTGGGAATGGAGTTATGGATACTGGGAGGGACTGGGACAAACTGGGAGGGACTGGGACAAACTGGGAGGGACTGGGAATGGACTGGGAGGGACTGGGAATGGAGTTATGGATACTGGATGGACTGCGAGCAAACTGGGAGAGACTGGGATGGGACTGGGATGGGATTGGGTTAAACCGGGAGGGACTGGGAGGGACTGGGAATGGGGTTACGGACACTGGGAGGGACTGGGATAAACTGGGATAAACTGGGAGGGACTGGGAGTGGAATTATGGACACTGGGATGGACTGGGAGCAAACTGGGAGGGACTGGGATGGGACTGGGTTAAACTGGAATGGACTGGGAGGGACTGGGATGGGACTGGGAATGGAGTTATAGATACTGGGATGGACTGGGAGCAAACTGGGAGGGACTGGGATGGGACTGGGTTAAACTGGGAGGGACTGGGATGGGACTGGGAATGGAGTTATGGGCACTGGGATGGACTGGGAGGGACTGGGATGGGATTGGGTTAAACTGGGAGGGACTGGGACAAACTGGGAATGCAGTTATGGGCACTGGGAGGGACTGGGAGGGGACTGGGGGGCACTGGTTTGAACTGGGATGAGCTGGTGTGCACTGGCAGCGTTCCAGGACTATTCCTGGATGATCGAGAATGCTGCGGCGGTTACTGGGAATAACTGGGATGAACTGGGAGCTCACTGGGAGCTCACTGGTCCAAACTGGTCCGAACTGGTCCGAACTGGTGTGAACTGGTCCATACTGGTCCATACTGGTGCGAACTGGTGCAGGATTACTCGGTGGAGGGCATGAGCGAGTCGCTGCTGACGTTCCTGCAGCACCTGAGGGAGTTCGGGCTGGTGTTCCAGAGGAAGGTGAACTGGGAGCACTGGGAGGGAAACAGGGGATACTGGGAGCACTGGATGGACTGGGAGGGACTGGGAATGGACTGGGAGGGACTGGGATGGACTGGGAATGGACTGGGAGGGACTGGGAGGGGACTGGGAGCACTGGAAGGGACTGGGAGCACTGGGACACTGGGAGGGACTGGGAGGGGACTGGGAATGGACTGGGAGGGACTGGGAGGGACTGGGAGGGACTGGGAGGGACTGGGAGGGATTGGGATGGACTGGGAGGGAATTGGGAGGGACTGGTGGGGACTGGGAGGGCATTGAGGGACACTGGGAGGGACTGGAAGGAACTGGAGGGACACAGGGGACACTGGGAAGGAACTGGGAGCACTGGGAGGGACTGGGAGGGAAATAGGGGATACTGGGAGGGACATTTGGGGACACTGGAGGGACTGAGAGGGCATTGGGGGGGACACTGGGGACACTGGGAGGGGACTGGAGGGACTGGGACGGCTGCTGGGGACATTTGGGGACATTTGGGGACACCAAGGGCAATTCCTGGGGACACTTGGGGACACCGGGGACAGCTCCTGGGACACTTGGGGACATTGGGGACACTTGGGGACAACAGGGACAGCTCCTGGGACACTTGGGGACATTGGGGACACTTGGGGACACCGGGGACAGCTCCTGGGACACTTGGGACATTGGGGACACTTGGGGACACCGGGGACAGTTCTTGGGACACTTGGGGACACTTGGGGACACCAGGGACAGCTCCTGGGACACTTGGGGACACTTGGGGACACCAGGGACAGCTCCTGGGGCACTTGGGGACACTTGGGACACCAGGGACAGCTCCTGGGACATTTGGGGACATTGGGGACACCAGGGACAGCTCCTGGGACACTTGGGGACACTTGGGGACAGTTCCTGGGGACATCTGGGGACAGTTCTTGGCCCCTTGGGGACATTTGGGGACGTTGCGGTGACATCGTCCCCCGTCCCCAGCGGAAGTCGCGTCGGTTCTACCCGACCCGCCTGGCCATCGCGCTGGCCTCGGGGACGGCGGGGACATCGCTGGGGACAGCGGGGACATCGCTGGGGACAGAGCCCGACGGGCACGGCTTCATCCTGGTGGAGACCAACTACCGCATCTACGCCTACACAGGTGGCACTGGGGACACTGGGGACACCTGGGGACACCTGGGGGACACCTTGGGGACACCTGGGGGACACCTTGGGGACAGCCTGGGACAGCTTGGGGACACTGGGGACACCTTGGGACACCTTGGGGACAGCCTGGGACAGCTTGGGGACACCTTGGGGACACTGGGGACACCTTGGGGACACCTGGGGACACCTTGGGGACAGTCTGGGACAGCTTGGGGACACCTTGGGGACACCTGGGGACACTTGGGGACACCTGGGGACACCTTGGGGACAGCCTGGGACAGCTTGGGGACAGTCTGGGACACCTTGGGGACACCTGGGGACACCTTGGGGATACCTTGGGATACCTTGGGGACAGCTTGGGGACACCTTGGGGACAGCCTGGGACACCTTGGGGACAGCTTGGGGACACCTTGGGGACACTGGGGACACCTGGGGGACACCTGGGGGACACCTGGGACACCTTGGGGACACTGGGGACAGCCTGGGACAGCTTGGGGACACCTTGGGACACCTTGAGGACACCTTGGGGACACCTGGGGACACCTTGGGGACAGCCTGGGACAGCTTGGGGACAGTCTGGGACACCTTGGGGACACTGGGGACAGCTTGGGGACACCTTGGGGACAGCTTGGGGACACTGGGGACACCTTGGGGACACTGGGGACAGCTTGGGGACACCTTGGGACAGCTTGGGGACAGCGTGGACAGCTTGGGGACACCTTGGGGACACCTTGGGGACACTGGGGACACCTTGGGGACACCTTGGGGACACCTTGGGGACAGCCTGGGACAGCTTGGGGACACTGGGGACATCTTGGGGACACCTTGGGGACACCTTGGGGACAGCTCTGTCACCCCCCTGTCACCCTTGGTCCCCCTTGTGTCTCAATGTCCCCATTAATGTCTCCAATTCTCTCAATGTCCCCAGTGTCCCCAATCACCCCAATGTCCCCAAAGGTCCCCAATGTCCCCAGTGTCCCCAATCACCCCAATGTCCCCAAATGTTCCCAATGTCCCCATTAATGTCCTTAACCCCCCAATGTCCCCAATCCCCAATGTCCCCAATACCCCATTGTCCCCAATGTCCCCATTAATGTCCCCAATCCCCAATGTCCCCGATGATGTCCACAATGTCCCAACGTCCCCAATCCCCCCAATGCCCCCAATCCCTCATTGTCCCCAATGTCCCCATTGTCCTCAATGTCCCCAATGTTCCCATTAATGTCCCCAGTGTCCCCAATGTCCCCAGTGATGTCCCCAATGTCCCCATTGTCCTCAATGTCCCCAATGTCCCCCCAATGTCCCCAATCCCCTCAATGTCCCCAAATGTCCCCATTGTCCTCAATGTCCCCACTGTCCCCAATCCCCCCAATGTCCCCAATCCCCCCAATGTCCCCAGTGTCTCTCAATGTCCCCAATCCCCATTGTCCCCACTGTCCCCAATCCCCTCAATGTCCCCAATGTCCCCAATGTCCCCAACGTCCCCAATCCCCCCAATGCCCCCAATCCCTCAATGTCCCCAATGTCCCCATTGTCCTCAATGTCCCCAATGTCCCCATTAATGTCCCCAATGTCCCCAATGCCCCCAATGTCCCCAATCCCCTCAATGTCCCCAAATGTCCCCATTGTCCTCAATGTCCCCACTGTCCCCAATCCCCATAATGCCCCCAATCTCCTCAATGTCCCCAATGTCTCTCAATGTCCCCAATCCCCCCAAATGTCCCCATTGTCCTCAATGTCCCCACTGTCCCCAATCCCCATAATGCCCCCAATCTCCTCAATGTCCCCAATGTCTCTCAATGTCCCCAATCCCCCCAATGTCCCCAGTGTCTCTCAATGTCCGCAATCCCCATTGTCCCCACTGTCCCCAATCCCCTCAATGTCCCCAATCCCCCCAATGCCCCAGTGTCCCCGCTGTCCCCTGAATGTCCCCACCGTGCCACCCCCAGACTCGGAGCTGCAGGTCGCCCTCATCGCGCTCTTCTCGGAGCTCCTCTATCGCTTCCCCAACCTGGTGGTGGCACAGGTGACAAGGGACAGCGTGCAGGCGGCCATCGCCAACGGCATCACCGCCGACCAGGTGACACTGGGGACACTGGGGACGCTGGGGGACTGGGGACATTGGGGACACTGGGACATTGGGGACATTGGGGGCATTGGGGACACTGGGGACAATGGGGACATTGATGGGGACATTGAGGACAATGGGGACATTGGGGACACTGGGGACACTGGGGACACTGGGGACAATGGGGACAATGGGGACATTGGGGACAATGGGGACATTGATGGGGACACTGGAGACATTGGGGACACATTGGGGACACTGGGGACATTGGGGACACAGGGGGGACATTGGGATTTGGGGACACTGGGGGGATTGGGGACACAGGGGGGACATTGGGATTTGGGGACACTGGGGGGATTGGGGACACAGGGGGGACATTGGGATTTGGGGACACTGGTGACAGGGTGACACAGGGGGGACATTGGGATTTGGGGACACTGGGGACATTGGGGACACAGGGGGGACATTGGGATTTGGGGACACTGGTGACACGGGGACACAGGGGGGACATTGGGATTTGGGGACACTGGTGACACGGTGACACGGTGTCCCTCCCCCCCCAGATCATTCACTTCCTGCGCACCCGCGCCCACCCCGCGATGGCCAAACAGGTGAGGGGACCCCAAAGGGGGTCGCGAATCCTTTGGGGGGCTCCAAATCCATTCTGGGGGGGTCAAACAAATTTTGGGGGGTCCCAAATTCACCTGAGGGGGTCCCAAATCCTTTATGGGGGGTGGTCCCCAAATCCACCCGAGGGGTCCCAAATCCTTTGGGGGGCCTGAGTTTGGGGATCCCAAATCCATTTTGGGGGGTCCCAAATCCATTTGGGGATGGGGAGGGTCCCAAATCCTTCGGGAGGGGGGGAGGGGTCCAAAATCTTTTGGGGCATTCCCCACTGTCCCCCTGTGTCCCTGTCCCGTGTCCCCACCGTGTCCCCCTGTGTCCCTGTCCCCTGTGTCCCCACTGTGTCCCCACTGTGTCCCTGTCCCCTGTGTCCCTGTCCCCTGTGTCCCCACCGTGTCCCTGTGTCCCACTGTGTCCCCCTGTGTCCCTGTCCCCTGTGTCCCCACCGTGTCCCCTGTGTCCCCACTGTGTCCCCTGTGTCCCCACTGTGTCCCCCATGTCCCTGTCCCTGAGTCCCCACAGTGTCCCTGTCCCCACAGTGTCCCTGTCCCCACTGTGTCCCTGTCCCCACTGTGTCCCTGTCCCTGTCTCCATGGTGTCCCTGTCCCCATGTCCCCATTCTGTCCCTGTCCCCTGCTCCTGTGTCACTGTCCTGTCCCCGTGTCCCTGTCCCTGAGTCCCCACAGTGTCCCTGTCCCCACCGTGTCCTTGTCCTTGTCCCCATGTCCCCATCCTGTCCCCTGTCCCCCTGTGTCCCTGTCCCTGTGTCCCCACTGTGTCCCTGTCCCCTGTATTCCCACCCTGTCCCTGTGTCCTGTCCCTGTGTCCCTGTCCCTGTGTCCCCACCGTGTCCCCTCTGTCCCCCTGTCCCCACCGTGTCCCCCATGTCCCCACGGTGTCTCCCTGTCTGTGTCCCTGTCCCTGTCCCCACGGTGTCCCTATCTCTGTCCCTGTCCCCATGTCCCCACCATGTCCCTGTCCCCATATCCCTGTCCTTGTCCCCACGGTGTCCCTGTCCCCATATCCCTGTCTATGTCCCTGTGTCCCCACTGTGTCCCCTGTGTCCCTGTCCCCTGTGTCCCACCGTGTCCCCTGTGTCCCCACCGTGTCCCCCCGTGTCCCTGTCCCCTGTGTCCCCACCGTGTCCCCTGTGTCCCTGTCCCCTGTGTCCCCATGTCCCCCCTGTATCCCCACCGTGTCCCCCGTGTCCCTGTCCCCACTGTGTCCCTGTCCCTGTCTCCATGGTGTCCCTGTCCCCATGTCCCCATTCTGTCCCTGTCCCCTGCCTCCTGTGTCACTGTCCTGTCCCCGTGTCCCTGTCCTGAGTCCCCACAGTGTCCCTGTCCCCACCGTGTCCTCGTCCTTGTCCCCATGTCCCCACCCTGTCCCCTGTCCCCCTGTGTCCCTGTCCCTGTGTCCCCACCGTGTCCCCTCTGTCCCCCTGTCCCCACCGTGTCCCCATGTCCCCACGGTGTCTCCCTGTCTGTGTCCCTGTCCCCATGTCCCCACGGTGTCCCTGTCCCCATATCCCTGTCTATGTCCCTGTGTCCCCACAGTGTCCCCTGTGTCCCCAATGTGTCCCTGTCCCCATATCCCTGTCCTCATGATGTCCCCACGGTGTCCCTGTCTGTGTCCCTGTCCCTGTCCCCTGTGTCCCCACGGTGTCCCTGTCCCCATGTCCCCACGGTGTCCCCACGGTGTCCCTGTCCCCTGTCCTTGTCCCCACAGTGTCCCTATCTCTGTCCCTGTATCCATGTCCTTGTCCCCTCCTTGTCCCCACGGTGTCCCCACGGTGTCCCTGTCCCCCTGTCCCCGTCCCTGGCCCCCCCCTGTGTCCCCTGTCCCCACGGTGTCCCTGTCCCCACGATGTCCCCCCGGTGTCCCCAGAGCCCGGTGCTGCCCCCGACCATCACGGACCAGATCCGGCTCTGGGAGCTCGAGCGGGACCGGCTGCGCTTCTCCGAGGGTCAGTGTCCCCAAAGTGTCCCCAAAGTGTCATCAAAGTGTCCACAAAGTGTCCCTAAAGGGTCACCAGGGTGTCACCAAGGTGTCACCAAATGTCACCAAGGTGTCACCGAGGTCTAACCAGGCTGTCACCGGGGTATCCCCAGGGTGTCCCAAATGTCACCAAAGTGTCACCAAGGTGTCATCGGGGTGCCCCAGAGTGTCCCTAAGTGTCCCCAGAGAGTTCTG